GGTTCCCCATGCATACTTATTGATTTAGTTTTATCTCACAGAATTTGATGTGCCGTTGTTACCTTGATACATAAAAGGGAGTGTATTTAATTTTGAATCCTGCTTTGCTTTGAACTTTTGAGTGTTTTTTTTATTTGTAATACTTTTAAGTTTAAGTCTTTTCTTTTAGTGGTTTCCCTATAGATTTCAATATGAGTGTGTAGTTTATTAAGGCCTATTGATAGTCACTCACACTTTATCATTCAAGTGGAATACAGATACCTGTAGGTATATTTTTTTTTCTAAAAATGTTTGTTGTGTTAGCATATGTCTGTGTCTATGTGTGCAGGTGCACAGAAGCTGACGGACAAGCCTGATTGTCATCCTCAGGAATGCTGCTTTTTCCTAAGACTAGATCTGTCTCATTGGCCTGAAGTTCACCGATTAGGTTACACTGGCTTGAGTGAGTCCTCACCTTCTCAGTACTGGGCTTGCAAGTACATATCACCGTGGCTGGCATGTTATGAGGGTTCTAGGGGTAGATTCTTGTGCTTACACAGTAGGTACTTTACTAAATAAACGATTCCCCCATATCCCTCTGTTCCCTTTTTTGAGACAGTATCATTTGTAGCCCAAGCTGGCTTAGAACCTTCCAAATGATGGGATTGTAAGGAAGACTTGCCACCATGTGCAGCTGGAATGTAGATACCTTTTTAAAAATATTGCATTACCGGTGTCATCATCATCATTTTTTATGTGCATGGGTATTTAGCCTGTGTGTATGTCTGTGTGCCATGTCTGTACCTGGTGCCTGCAGAGGCCAGAAGATGGCATTAGATCCCCAGGAACTGAAGTTACAGAGCTTGTGAGCTGCCACGTGGGTGCTGGGAATAGAACCCCAGGCCTCTTCACCACTGAGCCGTTTCTCCAAATTGAATGTAGATCTCTTAACCAACACCAAAATTGCTTTTTATGATCTATTTGTACTTAAGAATACCTCCTCATGAATGGAGAGTACTATTATTCTCACTTCTGTTTAAAAGCGGCTTTAAAATACGAGATATTCACTGCATTTAGTCTTTCTGTTGCTTTCTCCATTGCTATTGCTCTATATTTTCTTCCAGAGTTTCTTTCTAGTCTAAATGATTTTTTAAATTACATAGCTTCACTTGAATCATGCTCTGTGTCTCTCTTCCTGTTCCATCTCCTTTTGAATTTTGAACATTGTTTGTGTCTGTCAGTCTTGTTAATTCTTTTACTAAATCTAGTAGCTTTCTTGTAGAGATTGTTTCTGATCCTCTGTAGAATTATTTATCTTTGATAGCTGTAATTGTACTTCTTCCTTTGCAATCTGGAATTTTATTTATTTTTTTTTAACTTTTTGTGTTTTATTATACTAGTTTGAGAGTCAAGGATGACACTTAGGTTGGAATGGTGAGAGTTGTCTTTTCTGTCTTAATGTCTTTCTCAGGAAGGTTTAAGGTTGGGGGTGCCGGGTAAGTTTGGTTTCCCTTTAGAGTTGTATGTTATTATCACTTTGCAGTTTCACTCAGCTCTGACTTTATTGAGATCTTTGTTCTTTCCACATGGAAAATTTTTACGGGAGGGGTAAGTGAGCAAGGGGAAAGAGAAGGGGGCCACAGAGCGGCCTTGGGGGAAGACAGAGGTAGAGATTGATAGAGATATATAGAGGTACAGAGAGTGGCAGAGAGAAAGAGAGAGAGAGAGACAGAGAGAGAGAGAGAGAGAGAGAGAGAGAGAGAGAGAGAGAGAGAGAGATTATTGAGGTCTTCTATATGGAGTTTGTATTTCTGCTGCAGTGTCTGTTGTGATACAGTGTTTTCCCTATGTTGTGTCCTCCCTATGTATTTCACTTACTGATTTTGTATGTTCAGTGAACCCTACAGTCCTGCAATAGGTACTGCTTGATCATAAGTACTGATGGTTTTGTTTCTTTACTTTTGACATATTATATTCAATTTGCTCTTTGTTAAGAATTTTGCATCTGTATTCATCAAAGGACAGTGAAAGTGATGTGTGTATATGTGTGTTTCTTGTTGTTCTGACTTTGGTTTTGATATTAGGATACTTCTGACTAAGATTAATTTTCTGGAGGAAGGTTTGTATAGAACTTTTTAGTTTTTAAATGTTCAATCAGCAGAGAAGCTATTTGGGCTGAGAATTTAACTATAAATTCAGTTTATTCAGTAAATACGAGATTATACTGAATCTCTCTTCTGTTACAAGTGATACTTGATTTTGAGTTTCAAGAAATTTATCTATTTTATTTTAATTGTCAAATTTATTGTTCCAGATCTGTAAGTACATATTTGAAATTTGTGAACACTCCCATCAGTTTTAGTAGGGTTTATCAATTTTTATTATCTTAACCAGTTTTTGTTTCATTGATTTTGTTTCTGTTATTTTGGTTTTGCTTTTTATATTATATCATCCCCTTTGGTTTCAAGGTTTTTATATTATATTTTATATTTGGTTTTTATATTATATCATCCCCTTTGGTCACTGATTTACTGTTTCTATGTAGATCCTTAGTAGCACACATTTCCTTGCGAGTACTGTCTTAGCTGTAGTATAAAACTTTTTATGTATTTTCATTTTCATTAATTTTGAAAGATTTTATAATTTTTCTTTGGGTATCACTTTAGACCCAATGGATTACCTAAAAACGTGTTACTGTTTTCAAACACATTTAGAGACTTTCAGAGATCTCTCTGTCACTGACTTTTTACCTAATTACATTGTTGTCCAGAGGTCAAGCTTTGTATGCTTTGACTTCTTTCAGATGTTCAGTGATTTGCTTTATCAAGTTACAATTTATTTTGATAAGGGTCCTGTTGTTAAGTGGAGTAGTCTATAAATTTTATACTGAATTATTTGATAATGTTAAACTATTTTACAGTTTTAAAATGTAAAATTGAAGGTGTGTTTGCTTGGGGCCGACAGTATGGCACAGTGATGAAGAGCAGTGGCTGCTCTCCCAGAGGACGCAGGCTTGGTTCCCGTTCTCTGCAAGCCCTCACAACCATCTGTAACTCCAGTAACAGGACTTTTTTTTTTTAATCAGTGTATATTCTGTTTCTTTTGTGGTTTTGTCTTACAGAGGTTACATTATCTTCCATCTCTCATGCTCATTTGTAATGTGGTCTTGATGTAAACTGTGGAGTTCAGTTCCTTTCACCTAAAGAGGGGCATCCCTAAAACTTGGAATCATAGTGATGTGGCGTGGTTTGGGGGGGACAAGATCAGGAAAGGCCACATGGGGTTCATCTGGCTGGCTCGAATTGCATCACCTCTAGCCATTCCTTCTCAGATTGCAGTCTCCTGACCCACCTGCCAAACTGAGAATTCATAGGAGACAGAGAGGCCTGTAGGTGACCTCTAGCTAAGCAAGCCCTGCCTATGACCTTTCCAGCCCCGATGTCAGATGCAGAGGTGAAGAAAGAATTGATTATGAGCCAGTCCTGTAGTCAGAGCTTCTGCAGGTGTTGACATCAACACCGGTCCCTGAGCCCTAGCATAAAAGTCCTCTGACCTGGAGGATCCTTGAGCATAAACACGGTTCTGAGTCCTTCAGTAGTAATAAGGCGATCACGTGGAATAAACATTTTAGTTCCTGCATCTGAAAGCCTTTAACCTCACTCCTAATTGGGGTTTGACTCTTGTGGTTGTAGGTATAAGGAAACCACCTCTCAGAGACATTAAGTGACTTCTCCATCATCTTTTGCTCCATGTTCCGGTAGACGTCCTATCCATTGTGCCCTTCCCCTTTGTGGGCACCGTGCCTTTCATTTTGCAGGGTTTGGCATTTTATCCAACTGTGTTTAGACAGTCCTTGCCCCACTTCTGTCTGAGGACTCATGTCTGGTTATTTGTTTCTCTATTTTCATTGTAATTTTTTTAACATCCTCTCTCTTATGGTTTTATCTCTTAGGAGTCACTTACTCTTTTATAAATTGTGGTTGGGTATTCCGTGCCACTTTGTTTTTTAAACTGAGGTGATTCTTGGATGCTTTGTCCTTGGTTGCCTGGTGTGTGTGTGTGTGTGTGTGTGTGTGTGTGTGTGTGTGTGTGTGTGAGAGAGAGAGAGAGAGAGAGAGAGAGAGAGAGAGATCTATAAATACGTGGTTAGTTCATAGCTCCCATACCCAAAAGCTATTGATAGGTTTTTACCAGAAAGAGTTTAGAGGCTCCAAATCTTCTTAGAGAATTCCTGGGGAACTTCCCGGACTTTGGGGGTTAAGTACCTTTCTTTCACTCTGGCGCAGAGGGTTAGTGACTGTAGGTGCTGCTTTGGTCCTTAAGGAGTTTCTGCATGGGGTGGCACCCACTTTGGCATCAGTTTTCCTGGGGCACTCATGGAAATATGGCATCTCCTTTAATCTCATCTCACTTCCCTTTTGTCTTTTGAACTCCGTGTGGATTTATAAGGAAACCTTTACTTTCCAGCGCTCTCAGAATTTAGGGAGTGTGTGGGCTGTGGTTGCAGTTGCTCGGTTTGCAGTTTCAGCCTGTGGTGGATGGTGTATTTAGAGGGCTGAGAAATCTCACACAGTTTCATAGGCCTCTGCAGTTCTGGTCTTCCTGTGCCAGTTATAATTTCTTAAACTTGTTGAACCCAAGGTGGGGTACACTTCTCACGTATCTTTTAGTGTGTGTCTTCATTTATCCCTGCATCTCAGTATCTGAAAATCAAAACATTTGCAAATTACATTAATAAGAATGAGATTCAGACTTTAAATTTGTGCCAAGTCTGAGTAGAATACATTATCAGAGAATGTTATAATAAAATTTATCGAGATTTCTTTAGAAACATGTTGCTTGTGACCTTCCCATTTTCTTTTATATAAAAATATTTTAAATGATTTATAGTAATCACAACTTTATCCTGTAGCAGAAGAGCCATTGAAAACATGTTTGCTCAGGTAAATGAACTATAATGTCAGCATCATGTTTCCCTATCTGGTTATTGACCTGACAGCACCATAAAATCTCTTTTTCAGAGCAGCATCTCAGACATGTGGAGAAAGATGTTCTGATCCCAAAAATAATGAGAGAAAAGGCCAGAGAGAGGTGTGCTGAACAAGTTGAAGGTAAGATTCATATATTCATATAAAGATCAAACTCATTTGTAATAATATGATGTGAATTTAATCCTCTGCCTCAAAGTCAAGTAGTCAGTGAATTAATATGTATGAGTTGCTTCTCACCCTTCACCAGAAAACCAGTGTTCCAGGTCTCAGACTTCCAGTCAGCATTCAGTTCATTTACAATTTAAAAGCACTCCTCCAGTTTAGGAGCAAAAGGCCTCCTTCCCAGAGTTTAGTTTACTGAGAGGACCTAGATGTGAGTGTTCTGGAGAGAGACCTGAGAGAGTCAAGTATGCTGCGGGATTTGGCTGCATCCTAAGCCTGGTCTGGTGTAGCACACACGGGCTCACACAGCAATGGCTTTGCTTCGTGTTGAGTCCTGCTTGAACTCGTTTTGTGGGTGCTCTGTTTTGTCTTGTGTTTTGAAGTGGAAGTTACTTATGTAAATCACATACTGTTCCTATATATGGTAATTTTAGAAATATTGTTGATTGGTCTGTAACACACTGGTAAACCACACAAAGTGATAAAAACTGGGACCATTATAGGTCTGTAGTTGATGGGCTGTTAGAAAGTAGGTGGGAACTTTTCTGTAGATATGTCTTTAAAAATAATAGACCTCTTGGATTGGCCATCATTAAAAAAAGGCAGCAAAATTTTGCTGATGGGGTTGGGGAGACGGCTCAGTGGTTAAGAGCAGTGACTGCTCTTGCAGAGGACCCGGTCGTCTGTAACTCCAGTTCCATCTGATACCCTTGTTTGTCCTGTTGGGCACCAGAAATGTACACCACGCACAGATGTATGTATAGGCAAAACACTCATGATGCATAAAATGAGAATAAAGTCTTATTTATTGTTTTATGCTGAGATAGGCTCTTTTCCCACCTCCTTCCCTCCCTGTCATAGTCACCTTCGTCCAAGCCCATCAGTGATGTTTAGTGAGATGGCTGCAGGTTTCTCTCTGGGGAGTCAGGTTGTAGCAACTCTAGTTTTATGACTGTCAGTAAAGTTAACATTCTAGGAACTTTTTTCCTCTTTTCCTCCTTCAACCCTCAAGTCGACTTCTGAATTACAGTGGAGGCAGTGAAGCAGGACCAGTGCCTATGGTAACATTGTGTTCCTTGCGTTGTATGACTTGTGTGAATCGTATATTTGAAATCCTCTATCAGTTAGTAATTTAAAATCATTCTGTGATCTTACTCTTGCCTGAAAAGTCCTTCTGTCACGTTACTCTTGTTTGAGGTCCTTCTGTCGTACTGACTGCTATGCTTTCGTTGGAGACTGGCTGTTTATCCATTGCTCCTCCCTTCAGCTCCCTACCCCAGGTGTCGGCAGAAATTAGCCCATTGGCACCTGCAGGGGTCAGGACACATCTGGTGTTGGCAGGTGTCACACTAATAATCTCAAGGGGTGGTTTTCCACTTGCCTCATGGGACTTTTCAAAACACAATCTTTTTCAGGGGAGGCAAGGGAAACCTTGAAAGTGGAATAAAGTTCTTGGAGTAGAACTTCTGCTGCCAGGGAAATGCGTTACTAGAGTCACCAGTCCAGAGGAGTGAGCACAAGTGCATCTGCTCTGTAGCCCGTTACCATGGTACCTCGAGCGCGAGGAATCTAGCTAACTTAGCTACTGGGTAACTTGTAAGATTTGGATGAAAATGCAGAGTAACTGTGTGATTCTGGGTTTCAGAACCACACTGACTTTAGAAAATGATTTTGTTTTGGTTCCTGAGATGAGAGAGTGGTCTGAAAAGTATTCCTGCTTTATGATAACTACTTTATAATGGCAGAAAACAAAACATGCGACTTCAAGTTCTATCAACAGTTATTTAGCATGTTAAGATTTTGGTTTTAAAAATTCCATTGTTTTACCTAGTAAAAGCATCTTAGTTAGTGGCTTAGTGGTAAAGGCATTTGCCACCAAACCTGAAAACCTAAATTTCACTCCCAGGCCCACAAGTTGTCCTCTGACTCCCCAAAATGCATCTTGACACGTACACTGCACACATAAAAACATGCACAACACACAATAAATGTGTAAATAAATGTAAAACGTGCATTACATCATCTCAGAATTTGAGATTCATTTAGATTATTTTAATGATTTCCCATTACTAGGAAGCATGCTGTAATTGATTTATGAATATTTGAATATTGACTTTTTAAAAAAAGACTGTTCCTAAATAGTGCTTAGAATGTAAAATTATTTTCTGGACACACAATGCTCCTTAGTCTCCATTTGCCGTGTGACGGGAGTCTACACTGTGTTAGTCCCATAGCCGAGGCTGCTCTGAAGCAGAGCAGTAAGTCACAGTTGAGAGGCAGTACATTGCCATTTATGTACTGTTTATATTCTTCTTTGGTACACGCGATAGGATTTCACTTAGGAGCATTTTGTACGCTAATTGTATGGTTTCTGGATAAAGATATAGGAATTTTAAGAAGCATTCTGACTTTCTGCTAAATGTCAGAACATGCTACGTAGGAAAGCTTTTCTGTTTACTTTTTCCCCCATGTCCTTTCAACCCAGCTGGTTGTAAGAACTGGGTCAGACTGCCAGCAGCTTAGGTTTGTGAAGGAGATAGATGGAAGCTTTTCTAGGGACGAAGAGAGGTGAAGTCACTTTCGGTGAAGGACGGGTGCCTTGTTATAGTCACCAGCGGCAGTTATTGACAGCTATACTTCCTATTAACAGCGAGCATTTAACTAAGCGTTTGGCTGTCGAATCTTTGGACTTGATCTAATTTGCTAGCATTAATTAGTTTCTTTTGAGCACAGACACTTGGTACTCACAGCTATAGATTTGGAGGGCTAATTAGGGTAGAAAATGGAACAGAATGGGGTAAGGCATTAACCTTCCACCATTACCAGCTGGGACTCTGATAAAGCCCAGAGTCCAAATGGTGGCTGTTGATGTGAAGAGCGCCCTGGTGACTCAGTCTCGGCCGGGGTGCTGTGGTCTTACTAGTGCTCTCCCCATTATGACTTTTAACCAACGTCTATGATACCTTTGTCATCCATGCACTATTGAGTTTTGCTTTATCACAATTTATTCTAAGTCGCCCATTTCATTGAAGTTTAGAGCAATAAAACTGGCTTTAAACAATAGGTAATGTTTAAAACTTTGACTATTTCATCTCCAGGTAATAAAGTTTAACTTTAGTATACAATTGTGTGATTCTGTATCTGTATACCTCCTAAGTGCTGAGATTAAATGGGTGTGTCACCGTGCCTGGCTGTAAATGCCTATAATCCCAGTGCTTGGGATGTGGGGGCTGGAGCATCCAGTGTTTGAGACTAACATATGCTGTAGACGAACCCTGTCTAGTGTGTGTGTGTGTGTGTGTGTGTGTGTGTGTATGTATGCATGTGCATTTTATACATATATAAAATAAGAAACACAAATATGTATTTCTTTTTTGACAACTTACCATCTTTTGAAACTTTATTATGTAAAGGCAGTATATATAGAGGTTAGATACACAGAGAATTGTGATTTTATTAGTGTAAACTCTGACAAGAGTTTTATATTAAAAAAAACTTTATATCAGTCCATTTCTGCCAGTATTATTTGTGCCCATGAATAAAACCACTAGAACAAATGACTAGAGTCGGCCTCACTGAGCACACTGAGGATGGGACTGATGGGAAACCCAGTGGCTGAATTTCTAGACCCCTGTCCCTGCCCCTAAGCCCAAGCAGAAGCCCCTTCCTGAAAGCTGTGAAGGCCTCGGTGCTCTTTCATTCATGGTTCTAGGAATTACTAACTTTGTTTTAAGGAGTTGGTTAATTCCTTGTTATGTTTTTTGGTTTTTTTTTCCAAAATATATAGTTGACATTTGATATGAATTTGCTGTGTTGTGTCGTGATGTTTGTTTTGAAAAAAGTAAGACTTTCTATTACCAAGATAAAAAAAAAGATTTTGTTATCAAGAGTGGCCTAGAACACTCTTTAACCTAGCCTTGGGTCTTCTTTTACATTGTTTTATCCTACCTTAGTGTTGTAGTCTTTTTGATCTTTTGGCCAGAAAGTGGAGGTGCGCTCTAAAGGAATAAATGTAAAGCAACAAGAAGTATGGCTTGAGTGTGTCCTTGGAACCTTACAGAGCTGACATTAAGTAGCAGAGAAGCTTGATAAAACGCTTCCCTTCTGTTACCCACATGCAGCCGAAATACAAAGAAAACCCCAGTGGGAGCTTGTGAGACGTTCTTTAGGAAATTTACAAAAGAGTATCCAAACAAGACTGCCTGTGATGAACTGTCCCTGCCCAGCTGTATCGCTCGAAGCGTCCGCACCTCCGCACCTTTTATTTCCTTTGTGGTCTGACTTAGACCATTATTGCCATACCATGATGTTGCCATTTGCATCAGTTTGTTGATTTGAACTGACACTGAAGTGGAGCTGTGACCCAGCTTCAGACTGGCTTGACTATATTGAGAAGGTCATATGTCAAATCATCAGTATAGTGAAGACCTTGTATGTATATAACAATGTTGCTCAAGAGTTACAGATAGATGTAGAGTCCTACTAATGCTCGTGGCCCTGTGTCAGATTTCCTACCACCTCTGGATTCAGTGATTTGCTCTAAGGACCCAGGATATAGCCATGGTCATAAAATGGATGTACAATTTCCAAGACTCTTCTCTGAGTAGAGTCACTTACCATGGTCTTAGCTTTGCCAATGTGGGATTGTGACAATATAGGTTAGGTGTTGTCTACCAGAGAAGCTTACTGGAGACTCCATCCTTAGACAGAAAGCTTTACTGAGAGTTGGGTCTGTGGGCAACTTCTGCCATCAGGTATCATGATTTCAGATTTCTGGAAGGAAAGCAGTTGTTCAGCATAAACCATATTGTTTGCACAAACAAGTTGAGTTCAGTAAGCCACTCTGATCAGTTGCATAGTGATGAAAACTCTCCAAATCCAAGTTCTTCGATGCCAGCTAAGAGAGAGCCTTAAGAGCGAGCCTCTCCAGGAACAACTGTAGTATCAGGTGTGCTCTG